TTTTTTTTTTTTTTTTTTTTTTTTTTTTTTTTTTTTTTTTTTTTTTTTTTTTTTTTGACTTATGGAATTTTCAGTTTTATTATTCATGAATCATGAAGTCACTAATTTGTATAATGAGAGGAAAAAATGTAGGTTTGACACTTGACACTTTTTTTTTGTTTCCGTCAAAGAAATTTCAATTGCTTATTAAATCCGACATTTAACACGAAAATTTTACGAATCGATGGTGAGTGCGCTTTGAAAAATGTTCGTATCGAATATGGCAAGTGCAAGCGCGCGTATGTGTGTCAAAATTAACGAGCGCGGGGTTTCCTTGGCATGTACCTACTTGAGAACTTTTTTCATCGCTTTGCCGCCGCTGCTCAACGTGGCGATTTACATTTGACCCTGTTTTTTTTTTCTCCCGCCCGTAGGCATTTGAAAGCTTTCGAGACTTGGGTTTCCTCAGCCTTTGAGATCACATGTACCTACTATATTTCTATTACATTTTCGAAATTTGCGTCAAAACACACCCTGTCTTTTTCAAACTCCTAGTATTGCTCACTGCCAAACGATAATTGTTAATGTACTTTTTTGGATACTTTTAGGCACGACTGTTTAGGAGCAATGACTCTATATAAAGGTGTACCTAAATATTTACTGTATAGTTACAGGATCAAACAATTTCTTGAATAATTTGAACAAAGCCCGAGTAGAGATGACATTTACATGATTTGAATATATAGATGATTTTCAGACTAATTAAAGTAATTAAAATCTATAAGTTAGCACTGACGTGGTGGGTAGTTTTCTTCATATCTCGAGATTTTTTAAAAACATTCCCAGGATTTTAGCTACTAAGCTTTGGAAAAAGAACATTTTTACTGTAACGTCATCCAAGAAAAATTTCCATGAAACACATTTTTTTTCTTTTACATATGATTTTTTCATTTGATAAACTATTAAATACCTAACTTGCATATTTAAAAATACTACGAATTTTATTACATTTTATTACAAGGATGAATGTATTGATAATGCTTTACATGCAAAAACGTGGTCTTTTTTTACATATTTAACTACACTTATTGTAATGACATTACGGAGTAACTGAAACGTTGTACAAAAATTTAAGACAGATCAAAGTACCCATGTTTCATATTATTAATTATCATAATTGATACTTGATTTGACAAAATTTAAACTAGAACTTATTTTTTTTTTTTTTTTAATGAACAGCTCGTCACAAGAGTAATACATTTGAGTGCAAGCCGGGGTTTAAAAGTTATGAATCATCGAAACTAATAAATTTAATGTAATAAAATTCAAATCTGTTGAAAATTCATTAAAAGTGTGTGAGAGCAAAGTTAAAGCTTTGGAAATTAACTTCAAGAGCTTTCCATTTGAAATAAATTTAAATTTTATCAATCAAACTTTATTAACTTCCATCAACTCGTGTTAGCAATGTTACATTTTTCATCATTTTATTTTGATAAACATAACTTAATAGTATGCGTTGTTACGTGGGAATGTACATCTGATTCGGGTAACCAAGAATAAGCTCACATTCTGTATTGGAACATTTGCATGTTCGAGTCTCATCCTCTTCAAATTCGTGCAAAGAACCAAGTTGAGGTGAAGGAACTTTGAGAGAACCACTCGTGTAAGTGACATAAATTATATTCATGTATTTATAAATCGAGCGCTTTAGTAAAATACTGAAACTCGCACCAATTGTTTTTTTTTTTCACTGCTAAAAGCCGTAAAATTTTTTTTCCCCCCAAAGCCAAACAAGTTCAATCAAGCTTTTTTCCACAGGCGCGAACGTTTTATTTTCCGAGGATCCCGAAACCACGTGCACGTGACCGTAAACTGCACGATAAAATATTTATGAGCACTGCAAGCCCTGCTTTGAGAGGAAACAAAAGAACCTAGCCAATACGCGCACGTAACGCGAAACTCTGGGAACACTCGAATACCTCCTCCACACACACACACACACACAAACACACTTATCCCATTTAAACACCTGAAAAGAGTAAAGTCAGCCAGTTACCAAGTAGGAAGAGCGGGATAATGGCGTAGAGGGGGTGGGGGGTTATATTATACGAGGCTCGCGTGCAAGAACATCCGGAAACATAATCCAGCGTCGAGACGAGCGCATACAAGTGCTCCTCTCGCAATTGTCTCTCTCTTTTGCTGGCGGCTAAGCTTTGGCATGCACGGGCCGGTAGCGCGCAAAATAGCCATAAGAGAGAGAGGAGAAGAGCCGCAGGATTAGAGGCGTAATTTCTAATTCCTGCGCCGCTAGTGAAATGGGATCGCCAAAGCTTGGGCCGTAAGCGCTTTAAGGCACTCGCTGCGTGCACCACCGGACTTGCACCGTATCTTGGCAATATTTATACGCGCATCTGCACCAGAGGCACTTTGTGCGTACACGGGTAGGTGCATGTATACACACGTGCGAGACTTATGCTTTTGTGGCTGCAACGCCGCTCGTGAGTTATAGGGGTGATTATGTCGTTATCATAAAGGCTGCCTTTGTCTTTTGTCTCTGTTGTGTATAATACAACGCTGTTTGAGAATATGTTCTTGGAGGATGATTTTTGTTGATTTTGCGTGCCTGTAATGTTTCTAAATTTGTTTGACAAAAAAATATATAAAACCATTTTTTTTTTTATTGAGTTTTACGTAAAAATGCTTAAAACAACATTAAATCATGTCACGTTAAAATTACATCTTGTCAGTTAATCGCGGTTAGTACTGCGAAAGTAAAATTTTATTGAAAATAAATCATTCTCAAGAATGAACTGATTGCGAGCTCACCACACTAGCCATAAACTCGTCAAAAAGTACAATCTTACAAATCGAGATGATTAAATTTTTGCGGTAACGTTGTAATTCCAATCGCGAGTCAACTTCAACATCAAAGTTTGACGAAGCATCGGATTTAATTTTTTAAAATGGTGGCACATACAAAAATGTTTCTATTACAGTTTAATTGTAACATTTGTTCGTGTACTCGCACTTTAAAAACAAGAAATTAAATTTTTTTCATTTTTGTTTTGACGACTAAAAGCAATGCACGTTTTACTTCTATTCTGTCACACGACGGTGAAAACCTCGAAAACAAGCAAACGAAAAAAAAAAAAACTTTTTCCAAAAACTATATGTCTAGCTTTTGTGCCCCAGCTTTATATTTTTTCATTAAAGCCTTGTACCTATACGCTACGAGTTAAGGAAGAAAAAGGAGAAAAAAAAAAAAAATAAAGCGTACGTCAAACCAATGGTAGGCACGGTATATACGGTAATTAAAAGCTCGCGAAACATACAACATTCATCGGGGTTATAATATAAAATAGAAAAGTGCAGCGACCTGTGCGCTATTACAAACAGCCACGTACAAACAAACCTATCTCAGATACAGATGTATACTGCACACACACACACACACACACACACACACACACACACACACGCACTGGAAAGAGCAGGAAAATATACAGTAGATGCGAGAGATGGGGAGAAAATTAAAAGGGAGCAATATAGCGAAGGAGAGTCGCGGGTGCGTGAAGTCGCGGGGCAGCGATGCGCGCCAAGCTAAAGAGAGATATAGCAATATTAAAGGAGCTCTCTCTTTCCCTCTCTATCTCTAGGGTGCATATATATAATAGGGGATGGGAGCCATACGAGAGATCTGGTTCCATTTTTTTTATAACGCCTTCTATTGTCTCTTCGTTATTGTTGTCTGCTCTCTCTCTCTCTCTCTGTTTTTGTGTTTGCACAATGGGGATTGTTATTATCATTTTTATTATTTTTTTTTTTTTTTTGTTCTTTTTAATCAGGTGGGGAGCTCTCTTTGTTTTTCTTTTCTTGTTAAATTATTTTTCCCAAATTTCAAAAGCTCAGGGACTGTGCCTGTAAAAAAAGGCCCAACCTATATCACCTTTTTTCGAATGGCCGCATTGCCCCGATCTTGTCAGTCGTACCTACAACCACAAAAACCATGCACGCATATAATATGAGCTACCCCGAGCTCTTCTTGGCATTCCCACTTTGTCCCGGCCGCGATGCCCTATATAGACAGGTGCCGATGCGTGTGCAGTGTATAATATATCACACACGTGCATACCGGCACTCGAGCTGGATAGCACTTGTTCCTTCCCTCCTCCTCCTCCTCCTTTCTTCGGTACCTATATCTCTTCTCTCTCTGAAATCTAAATTGACATCTTGAGAACCAGTGAAGGAGGAGACGGAGACCCTTTGACCCGAGGAGGGTAAGCCCTCGAGGAAGCGCACGCGCGCACACACACGATCATTTATATATACGCGCTCTACTTCCTCTCTCGAGAGCTGTACATAGTGTACATACCTATATAGGTGTATATGTATTATATATTGTAGGATACAGCCCCGTTGGCGTTCGACACACAGTTATCTCCGCACGAGTGAGTAAGAGATGGAGATAGGGTCGCATTGTGTGGTCTCCCCCAAAGAGAGTCATTACGATAATTAACGGAGCCCAGAGCGGTCACCGCGACCATTGTATCATACATATATAATAATATACGTATACCCGAGATAGCACGTACTTGTTCTCTTATACTCCGCAGCTGTGCCCCATTTGGGTTTTCTTGTACGACCCTTTGGCGTCTTCTTAGATAATAGGATGATGATGGTGATATAATCCAAGTTATCTCCTCACAATATAACTGTTCGATCTGAAATAAACATTCTTCACATTTCCTTTCCCTATATATAGATGGGTACAAAATTATATACAAAAGTTTAACTGTTAATCCTAGAGTCTCTGTTTGTACTTGAATGATGTCCTTACGAAACAATCATGTAAAAATTAAAACGTTTGCCTATACATATAAGGTCACCAAAGATTAATTGGGTAAAAAAATTAAGTATACTCGAACAATTATAAATTATCCAAAAATCACATACATGTAGTATCTACCCAAGCATAGTACTTAGTCACTGGCATTAATCAAGCCAAGCTTGTCTCACGTTGTTGTTGTAGTACACCGATGTTGAATTGCATATAGTATCATCATGTTTGTGTTTCCAGGAGCCGGCGCAGCAGGACAGACTGGCGAGGCTGAGGCACAGGCTGGACCAGCAACAGAGCAAGTTGAATCGGTTGCGGCTGCTCAGGTCGCAGACCGATGCCTCGCGCGCCAACAATGCCACCCTCAGTGAGTATTAATTAATCCTTTATTGTATAACAACCAACTGAAGCATCCCCACGTACAAACTATCCGATATAACATGTACATGTTGTGTTTACGTATATAGTTTGGGAAATTATCACCCGTTAACGTAAACGCTACAATTTATTGCAACTGTGGGACGTATACATCACGTTAAATACACATTATCCTGTTGTTGATATTGGGAGGATGATCAAAATTACCCTTGATTAGCTTTTCCGCCTGTTTGAGACATCTTTTAGTACATCTTTTTCATCTACATTCAGGTGACTTTTCAGTTCACCGTACCCCTTTAATTTTGAGATCGAAAGGAGAAAAAACACAGGGTCGGGTAAAATGAGCGCACAGTAGACACGGAGAAAGTTAAATTTCCAAGCGCGCGATCGTGACTTTCGGGTGTACACAAATGTATATTCCAGTCGCGTCGGAAAACCGCTTTTCCAATGACGTGCGCCGCATTCAACGAGAAACCCAACCGTGCAAAAACAAAGCCGTAGTTTAATTAAAGGGGCTTTTTTTTCTTCGTGGAAAACGGGGAGACGCGCGTACGTCAAAGGGAGAGCAGTGCCATTAATAAACGTCAGGCCGATCGAGCAAAAAGGGGCTGGAAAAATGATTCTCTCTGGCTCATGAACCCCGAGGATCTCCCGACTGGCGGGTGGAGGCTCGCTCCACCAGGTAATCTCGTTTTGGAATAGCATAGCGGCGGGGGGTTTCAGGTAAGCCGTCCCATGAAATGTGCGATCCAACGGATTTCCGCCCGTGGAAAATCCACGTAATTCCGCGACGCGCGGTTACACGTGGTCGCTCACAGAGAATTGCGCGAACGGGGAGGATGCGGCATTTTTCTTTTTTTTTCATACCGCCCATTCATTCGTTCGATAAAAGACACGGGCGCTCGAGCTTGCTTTTGTACGGGAGCATATTTTGGGGGGGGGGGGGGCACTTGCACGCGTTGGGGAGTAGAGAATACGGTGACCGAGCGATTTAGCGCGTATAGTCTATATAAGTTTCATTTAAAAGTCTGACATCAGCCTATTGACGTGGCTCAGTATAGGTAGTAGAGTACGCTAGACTATACACAGGTTATACATGTATCGTAAACTGTGATCGAATCGACTCACGAGCATGAACTGTGTATATTCAAAATTACTTGTAACATCACGGTTATAATATGCCCGTTAAAATTACTTGTAACTATAATCAAACAAGTGTTGCATCATTACGACTCATGTAGATATGGTAGTACTTATATAACGTTTTAACGTATATGTATATGTGGCCTATAACTGCAATTACCTGTAAAAGGTTAAATAGGGAGACGAATGGGATTGGGTTGAGAATTATGTTTATCGTGCAAAATTGAAATTTCGATGTTTGCTAACGATGCGAAGTTTCATGGGCTTTTGTTGATATTAATTATCGTTTCGACGGAACGATCATGAAGTTTCATTAGCATTGTGCAATATATTGCTGTGCACTGCAATTTAATTTACCTACCCTTTGGTATGAAAAACGAGGTCCAAAAAAATATTGCGCGTTTTTTAACCTTAAATGCATTCAAAAAGTAAAAAAAAAAATAGGTGAAGAGTGTATAACTATACAGTACCGGAACTAAATGGCATAGTTGTATTTTCTTAGCGACGTACCCATCCCCAAAAATGTACGCACCGCCACTACAAAAAAAAAAAGTTGGTATTGTACTCGCGGTAAAGGTAAAGATAAAAAAAATGAAGGATTAAAAAATACAAATGCATAATATCAAATTCGAACAAACGCGCTGTACTAAAATTAAAATTCCACGACGACGAACAAGAGTTGGCCTCTTGTACCCACGCGCTACAGCACAAAATGAAATTTACTCCCAAGAGAGAGGAGACACTTATTCGACCCCTGCAAAATTCATGTAATATGCAAGCGCGACGAGAGCATAAAACGCGAAAATCAACGTCGGCTCGCTGTTTATATAATATACGCCCGCGTTGGTATAGCCGTCGCCTGAAGTACCACTTATTTCCGGCTGACGTCTCGCTTTTATGGTTTATCATACTCGCGCAGGGGGATCTGGAAACGGGAGTCGAAATTCTCCAGGACAGCGCTACACGGATTCTTGGATGTGAATTGGATTTTTGGGCAAAGAGGGAGAGGGACCAGCTTGATTTCTACATTTATACGAACAATTTTGAGACTCCTGGCATCGTTTTGCCAAAGTAACTTTTTTTTTTTTTTTCTTCTAATAATCAATAAAAACGGTTTATGAAAGGTGCAAGTGAAACAACGAGAGGACGCAACAGTTGCTCTGCCATGTAGTTAACTGTGGCGACTCCATTTCGTATGGTTTTTGCGAAACCGCTGCAGATCAACAAAAGGTGATTATCGTTATCCGCGTATAGCCGAGAAACAGCATCACACACAGACACACACACTGCATATTATATCGTATACGTTGGTTTTAATAGCGATAACGAGTCATGCACCCAAACACGTATGGGTCGAGCTCGCGAGCTCCTCTCAATTTCCGAGTGCTCGTTGAGAGCACACCCTCCGAACGTACTATACAACACGTACATAATATGCACTGTGTGCACGTATCTCGGGAAAACTCGTCAGTGTCCCCGCGGAGGCTATACAATCATCGTGACCCAGTATCTAGCGAAACACTCGCGAGAGCGCGTCCCCCATCGCTGATCGAGTAGCCTATTCGCGCGCCAGATGCTCTCCCGTGCACGGGGGAAAAGCATGGAGTGGCGCTTAATTTCCTGGATTTTCTGCACCGGGGGAGGCGTTAATTGACGGCCCCGCGCCCCGTGCCTATGACAATCGATCGCCGAGAACGTAATGGAGACGCGTCCGGCGAGGCTGTAGCTCGGAGGCGCGTGTGTATATACGTATAGGAGCACCGCGTCGACTCGCATACAAATGTGCGTCTCTATATTCCGCCTTTCCTCCCTCTTTCGTGAAAAGTATATTATATACCTACATGTGCAGCTCCCGAAAAGCCTTGGGGATAGTTTTGCGAATGATTAACTGTCTCCTATGCTCCTTCGTTCACTTTTGTCCCCCACATTATAAACCGCGGAGTCATCGCTCAACTTTTATAAATGCGTATATAGTTTCGGAGGCGCGAATATAATGTATATATATATATATATATTCCGAGCTTTCGAGGCTGCTACTGCTGAGGTGTTGTATTGCCAACGCGCTACTGCAAACACTCGATAAATCGCCGTTTCTACCTCGATATAAAGGTATACAATGAATTTACCACGTGTACGCGCTCGTTTTTCCGGTACCAGTCGACGCAGGAAAATTAATTTTCCACCCGATCGCTTCGTTAAACCCGACTCGCCGTCCCTCGTGTTTATACTTACCCGTACTCTTGGGTGATTTTTTTTTTTTTTTTTTTTTTTTTTTTTTCAACGCAATTTTTCGGGGTATCTTTTCTTTTAGATCCTCGGATTCTTTTGACATTTGCCCGAATTGCGTGCTTTCCTTGCATCCATAAAAGCATACACAGTCGAGGAATGGTGATGGGGTCACGCTCGATAGTTCGGCAAAAAAAAAAAAAAAAAAAAAAAAGAGAGACGCACCTTTTTTTTCTTTTTACCCTTCATGCAGACGCTAATTTTATTTAGGTACTTGATCCGAAAAGTATGACACGGTCCGATCGTTAGGGTTTACCAGTAAAAAAAACAGTAGTAGTGCTCTCGTCAAGCCAACAGTGGTAATACCGTATAGATGTACATGTCCGTCGTGGTGTTGAATGAATGTTCGTGTACGCAGAGTCACGTAAAAGTAAAAGTGTCACGTTCGGGCGGTAAAAACCTGATCACACTCGGTGAAGCCGAGTTGCGAAAAAATTCATCAAACTTTGTGCGATCGCGCAGACAGGTGTGTATATGTATATATGGGGCGCAACAAAGAATCCCAGCAGAGGGCAAAAATCCGATAAAACAGAGAGAGACGTACTTCGAGGACGCGCGAGTATACCTGTTACACCTCCAAGGTCGGAATGCGTGTCCCTCGTGCTACTGTATACTTACTCGCTCGATTGACGAAACGCGTTGGGATGTTACAGATGGAGGAAAAACTTGGCGATCCAACTCGCTCTCGTAAAGATACCGTGTACATATGTATAAACAGAGGGAGGAGGAGAGATGACGAATGGCTGTGTTTTGTGCTTTTGCCCTGTGTACGCGGAGGTAAGAGGATGGACGATGGCTATCCAAGAGCCAAGTTTTTCGATCGACCGGTATAGGTCAAAGGGTTTTTTGCTCGAAGGGAGGATCCATTATGCATACATTTTTTCACGTGTACAATATCAGTCAAAGTCCTGCGAAGGCGAATCAAACTCGGCGTGTTTGCGCGTGGTAGGAAAGCTCGGTGTTTTCGCACAGTTTCCACGCACACGCTATGAATATTGATGGCATCGAGGATTATTGAATAAACAAACGAACCAAGCGTACGACCAACTTAAATTTGCATAGCGAGCTGCTGTACTCAACGATTATTTATTCATCGTTTCACAATGGCAAATGTATATAAGTGTGGGTTTTAGTTGTGCTTTCGACGTTTCGTTCACCGATAAGCTCCGCTTGTCGTCGCTTTCGAGTTGGATGCTCTGAATAAGAGACGAGGGCCCCTCGGGAGAGAGCTTTGAGCCTCATTCGGGGCGATCGTGAAAAAGCACGAGAGACAAAGGTAATAAAAAAAAAAAGAGGGAGGGAGAGAGAGAGAAACAAACGTAGGGAAAAAAAGAGGAAGCGAGTTGGCCATTCGGTCAGCGCTTTTGCGCGATTGAAAAAAAAAAAGGGGAAAAAAAGTAACTCGGTGAGAGAGAGGCTAAAGATAAAAGTAAACACCGGCCTTTTTCTCGAAAGGCAGCCGGAGACGTATGGTAGTTTTTTTTCCTCCTTTTTTTGCGCTGTCGTTTATTTTTCTTCTCTTTCACCGATTGTTCGTCCAGATCTTCGACAGGGAATTTG